CCCCATTCATACTTCCAATTCATTGTTTGTGCTATCTTTACATGATCATTATATTTTTCATGCCCTCTCCTCCTTTTTTACAGTGGGTTAAATCCCATCGTTAGTCTTATAATCACTTGCTTGTAGGTTCTTGCTTCAAGGATCTTGCTTGACAAAAATCCTTATCTTAGACAAATCCAACTTTTTCTGTTCTGTGTCTCATAAATAAATGTGACTGGAGATAATCATCATGCTGATTGATGTATCTTTAAATTTATGACTATGATCTTCAGATTGCCCCTTAATGCTGCTAGGCTGTCATGTATATGATTTATCCACATTCTCCTAAATGGCTATTTTATATTTATCCTCTCCCAGACCTTTAAAACACCTTTCTCCCATTCCCACTCTCCCATTCTCACTTTCTATTTTGTGAAATAGAAAATAAAGGCAATCTCAAGAGAATTTTCACAAGCTCCCAACTTGGTGTTTGTTTACTTACTTGCATCTTATACACATTCTATCCTTTTTTCCTGGTACTCTAGATCAGTGATTTTCAACTTTTCTTGTCTTATGGAACATATAAAGTAATTACCAAAATTCTGCAGCACACACATAAAAAATATTTTTGGCCGATCTAACAAAAATAAGATATAATTTTGATTTATAGAAATAAATAATAATAGTAATTACCTACCTTTTTTGCTCCAAAGTGACTTATTAAAGAATCAGGTGCCTATACTTGTATATAAGGATTTCTGGTGCCAAGAATTAACCAATCAGACACAAACAACCGTATTATGTGGACATGACCAATAAGATGTAACTCTGTTATATGACCTACATATTTATGGTTCAAGATAGGACATTCACACTGAATGGCTATTGTTGTGTTGGCTGTTGTCATTTAAAAATATATATTATATATATATATATGTATTTATTGATTTCAGAGAGGAAGGAAGAGGGAGAGAGAAATAGAAATAGCAATGATGAGAATCATTGATCTGCTGCCTCCTGCACGCCTCACACTGGGAATTGAGCCCGCAATCTGGGCATATGCCCTGACCATGTGTTAAGGGCCCTTAGAATACACTTGGCTTAATTTAAGTCAGCTGGGATTCAGTGTGAGGGCAAAAGCCACGCCCTGAAGGCGGGACCAGTCAAAGACTGGACGCCACTCAGTCTGACTCTCCTGCCCAGCGTTAAGGGGATGGATCTCATGATGTCAAAGGCCCACCCAGATGTGATGTAACTTCCTTTAATTTGAGTATATAATAAATCAGCTTTCAGAGCTGGCTCTCTCTCTCTGCATGTTTCGGAGCTGGCTCTCTCTCTCTGCATGCTCAGTCCCTCCAGAGGGCAGGCACCACACCCAGCCCAAGCTTTTAATCTATTTTATGTCTTTCTTTATTCTTTAATCCAGAAAGCGCCTCCTAGCTTGCTCGAACCGGTTCAAGTCTCCCCCTCTGTGCGGGATGCGGAGAGGAGACCACAGCCCCAGCACGCCCGGCATAACCGGGAATCGAACCATGATCTCCTGGTTCATGGGCTGATGTTCAACCACTGAGCCATGCCAGCCGGGCTGTTGTCATTTTTTTATTTGGTAATCTAAGATGTCAGTGCCCCTGACTAAATAAGTCAGGTATTGCATGTTTTAAAAATTCTTGCAGTACACCACTTGAAAATTGCTGCTCTACATGGCCTGTTCAATCTCTTAAGATCAAACCTCCATATTTGCTTTGGATAACATTCTATATTCCTTCTGGCCTATTCAAGGACTTCACTCTTCCCTGTCTTTCCTGCATTATCAGTATTTTCCTATAAACATGATGTTATTGCTTCCATATTTCTCTTGATCCCATCTCCCCTTTCAGAAATTATTTCATTTCTCTAGTCCCCTTGATAACAAAACTGCCCCCAAAGAGTTGTCTATATTTGTTGTTTCTAATTACTTTTTTCTCATTTCTCTTGAGCCCAGTCTAAGCAGATAGCTACTAGTGCTCTTGTCATTATCACCAGTGATCACACTACTAAATTCAGTGGTGATCTTATCCAGTGTTATAGCTTTTAAGTATCATCCATATGTACTGTCAGTTTGATATCTCTAATTTATATCTCCATTCCAGACCTATTCCCTGAATTCCAGGTTGATATATTCAGCTGCTTACTTATCTTCTCCACTTGAATGTCTAATACACATTTCAAACCTCCATGCCCTAAAGGGAAGTCCTCTGATGCAGTCTTCCCCATTTCAATTGATGACAACTTTTTTCTTAAAATATTTCATTCTAATATTTTTTAGTTCATTATTGATTCCAAACCCATCTCCAGTTTGTCAGGAAACCCTTTTGGTGCTATCTTCAAATGCTTATCTTCTCCACTTGAATGTCTAATACACATTTCAAACCTCCATGCCCTAAAGGGAAGTCCTCTGATGCAGTCTTCCCCATTTCAATTGATGACAACTTTTTTCTTAAAATATTTCATTCTAATATTTTTTAGTTCATTATTGATTCCAAACCCATCTCCAGTTTGTCAGGAAACCCTTTTGGTGCTATCTTCAAAATATATCCAGAATCCAACTATCTTGTATCATTTCTATTAGATCACACTGGCATAAGCCATCATCAGCCTTATCTTAGTACTAGAGGCCCGGTACATGACATTTGTGCACTTGGTGGAAGGGGGGTGTCCCTGAGCCTGGCCTTTGCCCTCTCACAGTCTGAGACCCCTCGGGGGATGTCCGTCTGCCGCCGCTGTGCTCTCCAGCAGTGAGCCCGGCTTCTGGCTGAGCAGCGCTCCCCCTGTAGGAGTGCACTGACCACCAGGGGGCAGCTCCTGTGTTGAGCACCTGCCCCCTGATGGTCAGTGCACATCATAGCTACCGTTTGGTCACTTTGCATATTAGGGTTTTATTATATAGGATAGCCTCCTTTGTGCTTCTGCCCTCCTCTGTCAATATCTTTCCCATTTACTTTTCAACATAGCTGACAAAGTGATCCTTTTTATTTTTTGTTAATCCTTACCGGAGAATATTTTTCCATTGATTTTTAGAGAGAGTAAAGACACAGAGAGAAACATCAATGTGACATATCGATTATTTGCCTCCCGCACGCACCTCTACCAGGGCCAGGGATTGAGCCTGCAAGCAAATTACATGTGAATGGAATTTAACCTGAAACTCTTTAGTCTGTGGGCTGATGCTCTCTTCACTGAGCACACCGGCTACGGCAAAGTGATCCTTTTTAAACCTGTTTCAATCATATCACTCCAATAGCTTCCCATCTTATTCAGAGTAAAAGTCAAAGCCCTTACATTAGCCTAAATGGCTCAACACATTTTCTGTTCCTACTAGCTCTGTTACTTCTCTGACCTGACTCCTACCAGTGCTTATTTGGCTTCAGTTACATTGGACTACTTCTTCTTTACTAAATAAGCATTTTGCCCAGCTGTTGCCTTTGCCTGAAATATTATTTTCTCTCTATTCTCATGGTTTCCTCAATACCTTCAAGTCTCTACTCAAATGAGAATGACTCTGATCACTCAGTTCAAAGTTACATAACTCCCCATCCCCATATTCTTCACCCCTCCTTCCCTACTTTGTGTTTAACAGAAAAAAAAGATCACTTTCTAATACTCAGTTATATAAGTTATTATTTTATTTATTCCTACAGTGGGGCCTTGACTTACGAGTGTCCCAACTAATGAGTTTTTCGAGATACGAGCCGTCTCTCGGCCGATTTTTTGCTTTGAGTTGCGAGCTAAAATTCGGGTTATGAGCCAGCTTCAGATACCCCACCGCTAGTTGGCGCAGCGAACGTCACAGTGAACGCCACAACATCAGCCCAGCATCACGTGTCTCACTCGTTCACTTTAAGATTTTACATACTAGTAATTTGAGTTACGAGCTCTGTCACGGAACGAATTAAACTCGTAAGTCAAGGCCCCACTGTACTAAAGCAGGGGTGGGGAACGTCCGGCCTGTGGGCCATATAAGGGCCACAAAATCATTTTGTCTGGCCCTGCCAATGCATTAGGGGTAAGTTAATTAAATGTTTGAGCAAATATAGTAGGCTAATTTTTAAATTGATAATTTTGTATGGCCTGCAAATGATGTTATAAATATCCAAATGGCTCTTGGCAGAAAAAAAGGCTCACCGCCCTTGTACTAAAGTTTAAGCTCTATAAGATCAGGGGTTTTCGACTGTTCTATCCACTGCTGTATTCTCAGTGTTTAGAATAGGTGTGGCACAGAGGCAACTCAGTAAATATCTGTTGAATAAATATGTATGTCCTGGGTTATGATGTAAAGATATAAAATGTGTTTCTTAATTGTATTGCTGTCAAAAAATGTTTGAAGTACATTAGCAGGTATTTGCCATCAAGTTGTGAGTTTGAAAGGTATGCAGTTTTAGGAAATTTAGTGAAATTTTGTATGATTATCAAGATAGTAGGTGAGATGTAGCCCAAGAGCAATTTATTCACTTCAGACAGAGTGCTTTAACCAAAATTCTCTGAAGTAAGAGTTAAGTGACTTAAGTGACATAAATAACACTTAGTAAAGGACCTCATCTAAGTCATTTCACCTCTCAGGCTACAGCTCCTCATCTGTGAAATCATTGGGTTGAGGTGCTCTCTGATCTTTTCTAGGACTAATGATCTCTGAAAACCTACACTGCTAATTTTTGCTATAACAATCCTAGAATGAAATGCATATTAGTTGCAAGGATATACTCCTTCAATGAAGACATCGATGAGCCCTAACTGTGTTCTTATTTATTTATATCACTTCATGAGCTAAAGAATTTGTATTTTGTTTTAACATTCATATTAATGCTAATTTATGATATGCATGGGAGAAACAAGGTTATTTGGGTTCAGTAGTTCTTCTGCATTATCCTATTAGGAAATTTTCAAAAGAAGAAAAGTCAAACTACAATATTGACAGTTTTTCAAGAACTATAGGAAAAAGTTAACAATGCACAATTAACAGGCATTTTTGTTTTTTCCTTTTTCAGACGGTCTTAAAATCACTACATTTGCCAAAAAACAACAGTCTCTATGTTCTTACACCAGACTTACCACCACCTTCATCATCTAGTCATGCTAGGTAAGGTATTTACTTTTTTTGTTAATCTGAAATGAAAAATTTGATTGTTAATAACATTGCTTTAAGCTATATATAAATACAAAATCAAATAAAAATCTTGTTGAAGCTTTAACTTACAATTATTAAGTATATAAAATTTTAAATTATGTGGTTTAGATAGTTTATTTGATTTTAGTAGTGGCACCTTTTTTCCAAAGAAAATCTTTAGCAAAACTATGTAAAAAAATAGTCAAAAATGTTATTTATCTGTTTGAATAGGGGTGCATGTACCTTTTCAAATTAGTGTTTTTGTTTTCTTTGGATAAATATCCAGAAATGGTATTGCTGGATAGTATAGCAACTGTTTTATTAATTTTAAAAAATATATTTTTATTGAGTTCAGAGAGGAAGGGAGAGGGAAGAGAATAAGTAAATGGAATTCCAGCCTATCCCATGGCTAAAGAAGGCATACCTTTAAGAAAATTCATTGGGCTCTACAGAATACAGCTTGAAAAGCACTGATATAATTTTTTTATATTGCTGATATTATTTTCTCCCAAAATTACTGTGCTCTGGAAGGCAACTTAGGCTAAATGATTATATATTTACTTATCAAAAACTATGTGAAGAGATCAGATATATTGGCAACCGTTAGCTTGTTCTCTATATCTATGGATCTGTTTCTGTTTTGTTTTATTTATTAATTTGTTTTGTTTTTGTAGATTCTACATATGAGTGAAATCATACAGTATTTGTCTTTCTCTGTATGACTTACCTCACTTAGCATAACATCCTCTAGGTCCATCTATGTTGTCGCAAATGGAAAGATTTCATTCTTTATTTTTATTGCTGAATAATACATATATACCAAATCTTTGTCCATTCATCTATCGATGGACACCTAGGTTGCTTCCATATCTTGGCTAGTACTGGTAATGCTGGAATGAATAGGGGTGCATGTGCCTTTTCAAATTAGTGTTTTTGTTTTCTTTGGAATAATATCCAGAAATGGTATTGCTGGATAGTATAGCAACTGTTTTATTAATTTTTTAAAAATATTTTTACTGATTTCAGAGAGGAAGGGAGAGGGAGAAAGAGATAGAAACATCAATGATGAGAGAGAATCATTGGCTGCCTCCTGCACACCTCACACTGGTGATCGAGCCCACAACTCGGGCACATGCCCTGACCAGGAATCGAAACGTGACCTCCTGCTTCAACTGAGCCATGCTGGCTGGGCTCCATTTTTAATATTTTAAATTAAATTTTAAACAGGAATCTCCAGACTGTTTTTCATACCGCAGTAATTTTTTTATTGTTTAAAGTATTACATATAGTATTACATATGTCTCCTTTTCCCCCCATTGGCCTCCCCCTTCCACTCCCACCCCCCAGCACATGTCCTCACCCCCCTAGTGTCTGTGTCTATTGGTTATGCTTATATGCATGCATACAAGTCCTTTCCATACCACAGTAATTTACAGTCCCACCCAGTGTATGACACTTCCCTTTTTTCCACATCCTCGTCAGCATTTGTTATTTGTGGATTTATTAATGATAGCCATTCTGACTGGTATGAGATATCTTGCTGTGGTTTTAATTTGCATTGCCTTGATGATTAGTGATGTTGACCATCTTTTTAATATGTCTGTTAGCTGTTTGTATGTCCTCTTTAGAGAAATGTCTATTCATATTCTCTGCCTATTTTTTAAATTACATTGTTTATTTTTTTGATGTTTAGTTGTATGAGCTGCTTATATCTTTTGGATATTAACCCCTTATGAGATATATGATTTGCAAATATTTTCTCCCATTCAGTAGGCTGGCTTTTCATTTTGTTGATGTTTTCCTTTGCTGTGCAAAACTTTTTTATTTTGATACAGTTCCCTTTTGTTTATTTTTTTCTTTTGTTACTCTTGCCTGAGGAGACATATCCAAAAAGATATTGCTTAAGCCCTGACTGGTTTGGTTCAGTGGATAGAGCATCGGCCTGCGGACTCAAGGGTCCCAGGTTCGATTCCGGTCAAGGGCATGTACCTTGGTTGTGGGCACATCCCCAGTGGGGAGTGTGCAGGAGGCAGCTGATCGATGTTTCTAGCTCTCTATCCCTCTCCCTTCCTCTCTGTAAAAAATCAATAAAATATATATATATTTTTTAAAAAGATATTGCTTAAGATGGATGTCAAAGAGATTACTATCTATGTTTTCTTCGAGGAGTTTTATGGTTTTAGGTCTTACATTTAAGTCTTTAATCTATTTTGAGTTTTTATGTTTGTTTTTTTAATATGGTACAAGAAAGTGGCCCAATTTCATTTTTTTTGCATGTGTCTGTTCTGGTTTTCCAACACTACTTATTGAAGAGATGATCTTTAATTGTATATCCTTGCCATCTTTGTTGTAGATTATTTGACCATTTAAGCAAGGATTTATTTTTGGGCTTTCTATTCTATATTTCATTGATCTGTATATTTGCTTTTACACCAGTATGATACCATTTTAATTATTCTAGCTTTGTAGTATAGTTTTATATCTAAAGTTTAATATCTCCCACTTTGTTCTTTTTCAAAATGTCTTTGGCTACTGGGGTCTTTGGCGGTTCCATATAAATTTTAGGATTAGTTCTAATTCTGAGAAGAATGCCATTGGCATATTAACAGGGATATTGGTATATATTTGTTTAGGTAGTAAGGACATTTTAACAATATTAATCCTCCCAATCTGTGAGCAAGGTATATCCTTTTATTTATTTGTATCTCTTCAGTTTCTTTCTTTAGTGTCTTATAGTTTTCAGAGTACTGATCTTTCACCTCTTTGGTTAAATTTATTCTTAGTTATTTTATGGTTATAAATGAGATAGTTTTCTTAAATTTTTCTTCTGATTGTTATTGTATAGAAATGCAATAGGTATCTGTGTTCTGAAACTTTATTGAATTCATTTATTAGTTTGACTAATTTTTTGGTGGAGTCTTTAGGGTTTTCTCTATATAGTATCACTTCATCGACAAATAATGAGAGTGTTACTTTCTCTTTTCCAGTTTGTATGCCTTTTATTTTATTTATTTATTTATTTATTTATTTATTTATTTAAGGTTAGGGTTAGGGTTAGGGTTAGGGTTAGGGCTAGGATTAGGGTTAGGGTTAGTTTTAGGGTTAGAGTTAGGGTTAGGGTTAGGGCTAGGGTTCGGGTTAGGGTTAGGGTTCGCCTTTTATTTTATTTTTTGTCTTTTTGTCTGATTGCTGTGGCCAGGACTTTCAAAACTGTTTTGAGTAGAAGTGGTGATAGTGGGCAACCTTGTCTTGTTTCTGATATTAGAGGAAAAGCTTTTAGCTATTCACCATTGAATATATTAGGTGTGGCTTTGCCATATAGAATGTTTATTATGTTGAGATATGTTTCTTTTATACTTTGTTGAGAGGTTTTATAATAAAAGGAGCTTGAATTTTGTCAAATGCTTTTTCTGCATCTTTTGAGGTGATCATATCGTTTTTATCCTTTATTTTGTTAATGTGATGTATCCTCTTGATTGATTTACAGATGTTGAGCCATCCTTACATCCTTGGGATAAATCCCACTTGGTCATGGTGTATAGTCCTTTTAATGTATTGTTGAATCTATTTTGATAATATTTTGTTGTAAATTTTTGTATGTATGTTCATCAAGGATATTGGCCTGCACTTTTCTTTGATATAAAATTTTTAAGATTTTCTCTCTATTTGGAATAGAGGATCTCATTCTTTCTTCAGTTTTCACAGTGAAACTGAGTACATTATAGAATGAGAGAATTATTGTAATGTTTAATTATATATTGTATTATTATGCCAGATGAAGCAAAACTGATCTAAAGTGAATAATTATGCTAGTATTAGAGTCATAAGTTTTGTGAGTACAGTCTCATTCCAGAACTATGTTTAAGTTGTTTTAGATCTTTATAATATTTATACACATTTTCTTTTTTAATAAAACTTGGCGATTTTGTGTGGTAGAGAGACATGTATCCCTAAACTTTGAGTATTGTCAAACTTCTACCACCATCTATCAAATATCTTTATTATTTATGTAGTGGAAGGAAAACATTTCTGTTTTTCTCTACTGCACTGCTCATAGAACACTTCTGGCCACAAAATTTATTTTGTTTGTTTCACACAACAGGCAGTTCTTCAACACCCACTCAGTCCCACAGGGCTGGCCCCCACATCAGCCAGCAATTGCAAATCTAGGTCGTCACCTGTGTTTTTGAACAACTGGCTATAATTGGAGGTTCACATAACCTCCTTTTTGGGTATGATAATTTGCTAGAACAGCTCGCCAAACTCAGAAATGTTCTCTACTCACTATTTTTGATTTATTAAAAGGCGCGCGCATGTGTGCTTATTGATTTCAGAAAGAGGGAGAGAGAGAAACATCAATGATGAGAGAGAATCATTGATCGGCTGCCTCCTGCACACCCCCTACTGGGGGTTGAGCTGGCAAACTGAGCATGTGCTCTGATTGGGAATTTAAATCTGTGACCTCCTTGTTCATGGGTTGACACTCTACCACTGAGCCACACTGGCTGGGCAAAAAACAAACAAAAAAGCATATTTTAAAGGATGTAAATGACCAGCCAGATGAAGAAATAAATAGCAAACTCTACCAAATCATTCAGCTGGGGTTTTCTATGGAGGCTTTATTACACAGGCATGATTGACTAAACCATTGGCTATTAGTGATTAACTCAATCTCTTGCCCCTCTTCTCTCCTCATAGGTGGGGAAGAGGGGGATGCAGATAGCATCTTATCACAAGTTTGGTTCTCCTATTGACCCCCATTCTGAAGGATTTTCTAAAAGTCACCTTATTAACAAACTCAGGTGTGGATGAAAGGGAATTATTATGAATAACAAAAAACTCCTTGCTCCTTTCACTTTTATCACTCTCATCACTTAAAAATTCCAAGGGTTTTAGGAGCTCTGTGTGGGGAAAAAGACCAAATAGAAATTACTCAACTGCAGAAAATTAAATCTAATGTAATTGTATTTGGT